CAGTAACGAAGTACGTATCAAATCCCTGACTCCAGAATGCTGACTTTGGCAAGCGTTTCATCTGGATTCAAACCTCGCGCCATCAACGAACCTGCCGCTATGAGAAATATTGGCTCGGTTTGTGGGCATTAAATGTTTTCTCCAAGGGTGAGCACATAGAGGCTTGGCAAATGATGAGACAAAACAGGACAAGCCATCCAGGACGGCGCGTGTCAAACTTTAAGCGACAACACGTGCCAAGTCCCTTTTGATTGCTTTTTTGCCGTGCGATAGTAGCCACGCTGCTATCAGCCACAGTTATATCGAGTCATAACTGTATGATGAAGCTTCATGCCAAAATGGACTCTCACGCATTCGTCCATAGCTCCCGTCCAACAGGTCACTGGGGTTATTAAGTTGGAACGAACGTGTTCCTACTAAGCTGGTTGCTGAACTCCGGGGACATTTAAAAGATATGGGTTCGTGAATCTTCTATATGCCTTTCTCGTATTGGTCCTGTTACGACACAACCCTGGGATGAAATGCGTGATGTGATATGCATGGTGAGATTAGTTTGCGTCCTATTCATAACCTCGATCGATTTACTTAGTGAGAGGTGGCCTAGCCTTGTCAGCTTTGTAGTTCCCCAGGACTCCCAGAACTCCATGGATGATAGCCAGTTAAGACGTGCTGATCCTGGCTGCCTAGGGATCTGCTTAACTGTTCTGCCAGTTACTTGGCTGATGAAATGGATATGCGATGGGCCCTCCTAAGCGCATGAAGACCCTGTCGACGTCATCGTTAGTCTTCACAGTGTCGGATCTTTGTTAGTATACCGAACTCAGATTATAACAACACTTGTCTGCACAGCGACGGCAATTCTGAGGCACAGTCGGCTTAGCCGTCAGTGGTCTGTGTGGGATGTGGGATGGTCCAATGATCAGCGGGGTGTCGTATGCCAACTTTGGGTTCTCCAGATGAAGCGCACGAACTTGTAATTGCGTGTGGAGTTTCCAGGCGGCGGGCACTGCATAACCCAAAGCTTTAAACAGCTTTTTGAATAGGCATATATTTTCAGAGGCTGTTGCTACGAGTGCATAAAAAAAATCAACCCAAGAGAATTGAGGTGTTCGCGAATCTTAAACGGTGACGTAACAGCTGAGACATATTTTGTTACTGATGTGGTCGTTTCAAAAACAGCCACAAACCCATCTGGTTTCTGGGTGGTGAGCAGATGATCTCAACAGAAGGTTGTCGAAAGTCGCATAGCGTGGCCATGGGCGGGAAGGGCATAACAACGGGTTGGCCGGACTTAGTATTCAGGATCTATGTCAACACGTTCGTGGTTAGCCTTGTCTTGTATCGAAACACTACCTAGTGGGAGTAATGTCAATCTATCCACCTTGATCCTTATTCCAAGAAGAATCAGTAGGTTGATCGGCCAAAGACAAGAATCTCCGCCGTAGAGGCCTAGAGGGCCTGAAAGGGGCTTTGGGGGCGCATTCGGCATTTGCTTGGTGAATCCAAGGGAGCTATTAATCGACGGGGAGTAATGAGCAGACCAGCGCATTAGTTTCACATGAACGTGCACAGGGCACACGGATTACGTATGTACCGAAATTAGCTTGGGTACCAGCCGACTGGCAAGCAAAGCGGGATGATGAAGTTGGTGGAATCTGGTTCGATTGTGAGAAATTTGATTGGCGAGGTGCTAGCCAAGATTGCCAGGGTCATTTCCAGAACTCGTCGATAGGAGAACAAAGTTTTTGGCTTGAAGAAAATCTGTCGATCGGTCAACTCAGCTCGCGGCCGGAGATGCTAGGTTCAACAGAGTCAATGTTGGCGAGGAAGAAAGGATTTACTTTGGGGAGAAAGGGAAAGTGATTGATTACCTCAGCCTGAGACACGGCTGTTGGTTGCACCTGTCCTTAATGGCTGATTGCGAGATGTAATGCAAGGGAGTTTAGCATCGGATTGTGGAAGGTGCACGGTGAGGAAAGGGTATTGAATCATGGAAATGCATTAGACAGTCAGCTCTTTCCCATCATCATCAACACCACCGCCAAAAAGAGATGCTCGCAGAAATGCCGCTCTCAGTGGATCGCAGCAGTGGAGGTTGGCGTTGGCCCTTGACAGCCACCACACCTCGCCTACAACTTTTAGGACAGTATTGTCGGCACATGTCTTACCCGGACGTTAAGCGAACTTACGCCCTGAAACGCCTGGAGGGATAGAGTAAGCGTAATACGGGGAATCCAATGGAATTGGAATTAAACAGGCTTAATTGTCTTAGTTGACGGGCATTAATGACAGCTGCGGCTCGGGTTCGCTTTCGCACGATGCGGAAAAGAGACTTGAATGTTGTTCAGATAATTCACTGAATGATTAGTCAGACCTTATCGATGACTACCTTACCTAACTGCACCTGCTTCATCAAAACGCATGATGGGATGTTCCTTGGGGACAAAGTCAACCCAGTTGTAAAGCTCGGGACACAATCAACACGGGCCCCAAACAGTCTCACAGGTTGAATTATAGCATGCGCTACAATGCTGCCTGAACTCATCCGTATGATTCATGATTGTCCTGAAAACCAGGTGTCTTGTCTGCTTATTCAGGTCAGCAGAATGAGCACCACTCAGCCACTATCGAGATCGCTGAACACCATCCTACTTTCGATCACCGTATTGGAAGCCTGAACGTCTATCTGGGCAATGAGGCATTGCATCGCATCGCAAAACATGACCGAAATGCGCAACCACTCATGAACTCGTTCGCATCAACAACCCTGACGGATATCTCCGAGATGTTATTGGCCAGTGCCCCCAAAGATCAACCAGGCATCTCGTTTGGGACCTCCATCCCACGAGGATTTCCCAGTGATCTTCACAGATGGCGGCGATCAGCAGGGACTACCCTTGCCATGTTATCCCAGGACGCCGGCCACGCGAGATGTGGATTAGACTCGATTTGGATTTGGGGGCTGCACACCCTAACGCACCCCCATCCGCCCTACCTCCACTCGTCATGATGGCCTGATCTTAATCTCTTGCGTCTCTGCTAGACCTGACCAAGGTGGAAGTTCCGCTTTCTGTCCTGCTCTAGCCTCCCCCAATACACGCGGGCGCGTCTTTGGGGTTGAGGCTTAACAGAACTCAGTATCACTACAGCGCTAACAGCACTAAAGTGTCACCAGCTTTAGCACTGCGCTCCAAGGCTTCGGTTGGGCTTCTGGTTTCTGGCATCTGAACGGGCTGCGCTAGCACGACTGCCGAGGTTGATCAATCACGGGCCGACAATGCGAGACCCCTTCAAACTCAAAGTACAGTACTGTACTCTATCGCTGTGTGTGTGTGTATGTGCCTGCCAGCCATGGTTAGGTATTTCGACAGAGCTACGGATACATAATAAATACGTTAATCAAATCACCTACAGCACTTGGCGTTCCTGGCTGGGTCCTGTTGTTTGTTTGCTTGCACGCAAGGCGAAGCTACGCCTCTTATCCGCATCCTCCGGCCTTGCTGGAGCCCTCATGATGCTCGGCTTCATCCACTTTACTAACTCCATTCTGGCGAGCAGAATCCCAATTCAAGAATAGGTTCATTTCCTGTCTAACGGCTTGTTCCGTTTTGGACTTTTGTTATGGCTGGCGTTGCGGCTACAGGACGTGCTCTCACCATCTGCCAGCTTTCGATCCCTTGCCCGAGACTCTGGTGCCCCTAACCTCGTCGACCGTTATTCCCCCCACACCACGACGAGATTGCCTGTTCGGGTAACTTTGGTCCGTGTCAAGGAAACTTGATCGACTTCGTCCCATGTTATACAGCGCAACACATAAGCCTTTCTCTCCAAGGGTCTCCATGAACGGAACATCCCGTCATGGAATCTGTCTCTTCTCAAATCAGTCCATCGCCTAAAGGATCGTCGGGACGTCAGACCCTTAACCCAGCTTTGCCGACTTAGGATCTGTCGAGGAAGAGCCTACGTTTCTTGTCCATGGACGCACGGCTGGGTGCCATGGCGATTCGTTCTTGAGCGAGCGAGTGTCAAGGATTCACTCATTCTGTCAACTTCGTGGATTGACCAAATGGGGACATTGCATTAGGCTCTTCTGAGCTCTCCCCTTTCAGAATAGTTACTCCCAGTTGTTGCCCTTGCTGCCAATCCCCAAAGGCTCAAACTCGGGCCGTTGAGCTTCACTAGCGGGTGTGCAGCATGCTGTGATCTCGTTTGCCGCAGGATCAGGATCAGTTCAGGGGGGTGCCCCAGAGGAACGTTTACTATGTAGGGGATACCAATCGTCTTCCACCATACTGAGAAACCTCACTGCGTTGCTGTCAAGATTGATCATGTTCGATCGCAACCTCGTATACACTAGTTTCAGATCATGATTGTCTGTGTTTTTGTCATTGTTGAACACTATGTCTCCTTTCAACTACCTCAAGTGAAGATGCACAAGGACTCATCACGCGAATCCTGCAAAAGACCAAAACCCTTCAAGAGAAATGTTGTTTAAAGGATCTGCGGGCATTTTTAAAGAATCGCCGAGAACATGTCCTCCTTCTCAAGTAGGACATCACAAAGACAATGCTGTGGGTTGCAAGAATAGTCATGCGTCTGTTGCAATCAAGTTGAGCTTGACGGCTAAATAGGATTACGGCCCGCAGTGTCGTGGAAAGGAAAGATCGCGTGGAGATGGTTGCCCGACTACCTGATCTTGATGCCAACCATCTCACAAGATGTGCACTTGATAACCCACACGCGAGACGACGATATTTCCACTGGGTTTGGGATGATCTCCAGATGCACCACTGTGGCGTAGACACGTTAATTCTGCCAGGCTCAACAGGGCAGCTCAAAAGGGCGGCAAGGGACGATCATGGATGGAGAACCACCCCGAAATTCGACACTGTCACATTTCAGATACCTCCTTGCTGACACCAACAAGTCTTGGAGGCATATTAGCCAGCCGACGACACCGTTGCAGTCTTGTGAGACCGAATCTCGATGCTGGCATCACAATGATGCGCACCCTTCGCCTGTCACAACAGCCACTCGATAGTCTCAACGCAACGGAGCTCTACGAGGTTTGTTGTTGAGCTATTTATGTACGAAAACAGTTTCAAGCACCCATGTTCCTAATAAGCGCTTTGGAGGAACCAGTTGCTGGGGAATGCGACAGACATATAACCCTGTTCGATATTAGCTTAACCCACCAACGACCTGGGGTTGTGTTGTTTCACAAAACTACAACATATACTGTCGGCTGCGGTAGGTATTCGGACATTTCACTACAATTTACCATCGATCATAATACATGAGTTGAAAAACATGCATTATTAATCTCAGTGGCAGTTGGTCGGCGATCAGCGGATGTCGGTCCTGGGCCCCGATGTGTTTCATTGGAAACAGTTATAGCAACAGCCTCATCACTTCAGTTGCTGACGCCAATTCATCAAAGGGAGAACAGCGACTTGGCGCTTGCCACGGTCCGTCAACGGGATTCTTCCGGGACCGTTGAATGTGCCCCCTTGCTTATTACTAGGATTGTTTCCATGTGGCTTACCACGCTGTTTGTGACTATCAGTCAATATCTTTCCACGAAAAACATGGTCTTGAGACAAGGCAATCTTGACAAAAGTGATGAAAACTACTTGTCAGCCACCTCATGGCAGGGCGTGGCAAACATCTGCGGAGTGTAATCAAGGTGACGACTTCGAAGGCATGTGGTGATGATGGAGGAGGGAATGGTACTGAACGGATGCACCGTCTTGACACATGTTAGCGCCGACTGCTATTCATAGCTGTCGATCACCACAGCCATGGCTTGAATGCATTCCGAAGATAATTATGGCTGAAGCAGCGAAGTCATGTTGGACGCTGAGAGAAAACAAGTCATGCTTGGAGAACGATTGGCACACCACTGAGGAAATTTCGAATTCCCCCATATTCGAGTCTAAGCCATGAATTATGTTTACTTTTGTCAGACATTTTGCTCCCTGTTCATATGCGGTTGCTTGCCCCCATCGTACGACCGTTTCACATTGCTTTTTCTCGATGTATCTTGATGGGGTATAAAATTATCACGACTAATTCGAAGGACGAATGACAAAGGATGGCAGAGATGGTAAAAAGAAAAAAACAACGACAAGAAAAGGATCCGTGGCGACATGCAGATGGAACAGTACATTCCGCAGCATTACTGCTAGTATATAGACAGGTCATTCTGGAGGATGCACAATATTGCTTTTTACAGGCCTCGGGAGTTGGTTGATATGTCTTCTACGCAGTCAACGGCACGCATTGACCTTCTTACATACACATACATAAACGTTTATGTGTGTGATTGTTTCCGTCAATGGGTCGGCCCTTATGCCGGTGGCCGTGCCCTACCGATCGATAGTCCCAGCTCTTGTGTGTGGTGATGCCCCCTCGGCGTGCTGCATGTCTCAGATATCACATGGAGCTGTGAGGGAGAGAAAGGGCGGGGATGGTTTTAGCCGCCGTTGGCTAGTCGCCATTATTCCCCTTGAGGCTACTAACGTAGATCCCAAATGACCTGTAAGTTTTGAGAAATGCTGTGATATAGGCCCCCCAGACGTTACATATACCAACTTACACTAATGCACCTTGTGTCTTATGCGAGGTTAAGGACAAGCAAAAGAACACGAGTCGAGACTTAGGCCCAAGGCACTAAGAAGCTACCGAGTCAAGATTCAAGACGCAACCGGTTGACCTCACTCTGAATCATCGATGCGTGTGGCCAGAGACAAACACTCTAATCAGTCAATATTTCACGTTCCTCTCAAGTTTCACGTGGGCTCACCTATAACTGGCTAGGGTGGAGAAACATGACCGCTATATTGGGCGACCAGCTCGTCGACTTGAACAAGGTAGTTGAAGTCTATCTCTGGAGTAACTATTGGTAATTACCGCCCCCAGCAATGCTAGTGAAACGTCCATCATCGATAGCCTCCGCCTTGGCTGGTAACATGCTGCAACTTTAACCAGCTAACCACGCCCCGGGCTCTGGGCCATTTGATGTTGGAACATTAGATCTGTCTCGTGGATCATCGGTTGTTGCATCGGCATTCCTGTTGTTGCCGGTGCGTGGAGTGAATCCATTCTCGTCTGCAGATATCTGATACATGCTCAGGGTCTTTGTCAGGGTGTAGTAACCAGGACCGATTTCGATATCGCTGTCACCTGAGCGTGTAGATGCGACGGTGAGGTCGGGGGTAGAATTATGGCTTCGATTACAGGCTCGAAGCTCCATGTTTCTGTTTCTCTGTGTTGGCTCTAGAGTCGGCGAGGCTGATGCTGCTGGAGGCAAAGGAGACTGCAGAGGGGTTTGGTCCAGAATCTCAGAACGATACGGAGACATTCCTAAGTCTCTGAACGGAACAGGGGAGGGTTCGCACCGATTAGGAGTGTAGGGAGAGGTGATTGATGTTCCAGGCATCGGAACGCGGCCTGACACTGAGCGCCCAAGAGTCAGAAGCTTTGTTTCTGAGGCTTCAATCATGTCCTTCTTTCGACAATGTCTTCGGGGGTGAGAGCCACATTTGCGACATTGCTTCTCAGCAAAGCCCAGAGGAATGCTCACAGCTGCGGCGCGGCGACGGTCCATCTCCGCTGCCAACTGTGTCTTCACCGCTGGCCTGGTGAGCCGCTCGAAATAGCGCCAGCCTAGAGGCTTGTCCCTTCTTCCCTTGACACATGGCCAACAGAGACACAAGGCGTACTCCTCGCCAAACAAGTGCTCGTAGATCTGATCCTTACTATTGCGGCGGGAGATCCCCTCTTGGTTATTAGGGGGATCCGGAATCATGTATATCAGGCCACCAAAGTAATTGATACAGAACCGCTCATATTTCTGGGGCGCGAGCTTGTGCGTTCTCCAGACAAGATGGATATCGAAATCGGTAAATCGAATATGATCTGGATATTCGAACCGCCAGTAACCAATCCTCTCTCCGAACTTTTCCAGAGTGAAGACCCGCCGGTAGCGCAGGATAGCAGGCCTCAGCGCCCGCTCGTTATCCTCACGAGACACGTATATGCGATGCCAGGAGAACTTGACATCTTGTTCTGCGAGGTCAAGTTGACGCTGGATGGCTTTATGGAAGTCATAGAAGAATTTTCGTTGACCTCTTGGCGTCATGACGGTGTGGTTCAGTCGCTTCTGGGAGAATAATTGAATCACTTCTTGAGTCATTTCATTGGGACTGGCGGAGAAAACATAATCAACCGACATATTCATGAGGCTGTGGGCATCTGCCTCGTGGTAGACACGATTGATCCTGTCCATGCAATCCGGCGATGGCTCAAACAGTCCCTGCCTGTTGCTGTCAAGGGCTCTTGACTAAGAAGAGTTAATTGCTGATATCTGAACATCAGAGCAGTCGGTGATACAGACCAATTCGTCAGGGTTCCACTGAGAAAATAAGAGTTGTGACTCCTCGACAAAGTCACCCCATGCAACTGGATCCTGCAAGAACGCATGCCACACGAGAAGAACATCAAGGGGAGGAATGTCTCTGTTCAGATCGACGTGGCCATCATACGATGCCTTGAACCAATCTAGTAGTCGACGAACGCCCATATTGATGTAGCATGTCCATGCTGCAGCTGGATCGATCATATGCCTCATGGCCCAGATGTCAATTTTGGGCTTGATTGAAACGAAGTGCTCCAGCAAGTGACAGTGTAGAACAACATCTTTCTCGTTGACTGATGCGTGTATAACCCTTTGGTTAATGCAAAGTAAGTCTAACTCGGAGAAAGGTGAGGTTGGTGGATCTGTACCGAAGAGGAGTCGAAGTGTGCTTCCGCAGACGTTAACGCCTTATGTAGGGAGAATGGCTTGGTAGACCTACTTGATAGCCAGTTCCATCATTAACTCGAGGAATAGTAATTGGCAGTTCCGTGTGTATTAAAGAATAGGCACGCTGTGGGTTGAAACGAAGGACTCAATGCCAGGAACGAAGGTCTTCATGCTAGGCTTGAACAATTCAATACCAGCTGTCCAGGCGAGCTATTGCTCAATACTGCATACTTCACAGGCTGCAACAGGGGAGATTATGATAATTTGAACAAGGTAGAACGAGCGTTTGATCGAAATAACCGATTATGGTTGACCTGTGCGAGGATGCTTGGGGGACAGAACTGGTTTAAGTAGATCACATCGAGTTTCGACACTCGGATACGTTGGGCCGCCAATAGTCAGACTCATCCATATTTATTCTCATACAGGATAAACATTGTGCACTCATCAAAACAGAGGAAATTAGGGTGTCGACGTTTGGCCGAGTTTAAGCCTCAGCCTCCCGCGCGGGAGGCTTTCCCATCGCGATATGGTATAGGCCGGAGCTGGACATTCGGCTTAAAGAGTAAAAGCCAATTCAGGGATACGAGAACTTAGAAATGCCCGACAGCGACATCAGCGACCAATATTCTCCTCGTGTAATGCACGAAGTCGTCAATGGATGATGGGGCTTACATAGGTGGCAGGTTGATCCAAAGACGTACAGATCAGTGGCGTCTCTCACAAGCTCACAGAGCTTATACCAGAGACCAGACTGGAAGTCTATGATGCTTTGGATGCAGGAGTCGTTGACGTCCTGTTATATTCTCGGAGACCCCGATGGGACACTCGACGGAGGAAGAGAGGATGGCTATGGTGCGTTCGGGTGTCTGATCTTACCAACGGGATATGCCGTTGGAGGCTGAACGAAGCTGTCGTGATCATTTGATGTGAGAATAAGCTCAACCGTGCATACAACGAGATATCGGAAAGGCACAAGTCCATAAACAAACGATAATCTTGTGATGATACTCACACGGGTGAAGGTGCAATTACCCCCTGGAGAGGGAAGCATGAGTGGCTGGTAAGATAAGCGGTTCTCATGAGTATTGCCGAGAATGTTCCTCACAAGTAATCGACCATCATGGCATCCCGAGGAGACAGAGCTGTAGTGTCTAGGCTGGAGACGTCACTATAAGGTTGTCTCTGGAGATCATCCATTGCTCACTGTGGCACCAAACTAAACCCCCACAAGAGAACGCTAAGCGAGGCACAATCCAAGTCGAGCAATTACAGAGCAGCCATGTATTCAATAAGAAAATACTGTAGTTAACGATAAAGCATAATCATAAGTCGTACGAGCTAAAGGCTGAGTACCACATAAAAAAGGGGCATGGTAGTATGAGGCAAAAAACATACAACACCGGGGATTCGCTGGTCGTCACCGACCCAACTACTAATCCAGCGCTTCGAAGCTTGACTATGGGAGAGCAGACGGGATCCCGTATTTTCTTCGAGCTGTGGTCGTATGTGCTATGTTGAGCTGCTGTGTCGCCATATCAGGGGGTTGGTGGTGTTGTTGGTAGCCGAGAGCCTTGTTTGCCCTACAGCCTGGCCGTGATAACAAGGGGCAGCGCAGCCTTGTCAGGATGAAAACCAATCATAAATCAAAGAACAAAGACGGAACAATGTAATCGATAACTTTTTATGTATTATAAGCAGCTGATGGCGGATTGATGGGGGAGTTACAGCTCGTGTAGTGTGTAAGTAAGGAGAGGCTTCACGTACAACAATCTCGACACCTGCAGCAAGGAGAAACCAAAAGTTTCAGTGAATATATAAGTTGAATCTGGTTCAGGGCCAAATATCTTGGTATAAAATATTATATAGGCGTATAGCAACTTCTTAGTCCTATCTCCTCTGGTTATATGTTGCGCTGGTGGTGACAACTGGAAGGGGGTAGAACTCTAGATTGCACATCTAAGAGCATTTACATCCATATAAATAAATTCACATTCTCTTGTAGCTTGAAACTTAACGTTGAATAGACCTAGAAGAGTCTCGGGAGTCTCAATCAATTTCAACAATAAAAGGCCCACATAGCGGCCTGAAGCTTCAGAAAGTCAAACATCAGTATGGTTTGCTAACTAAGTCGAAGCCTGAGCTTATATGCATAGATGAAAGATCATAGAACATCTTCGTAGACATTTGATCATGAATATAGGAGATTGTTTGGGATCGAAATGCTTCACATCCAGCCAAGTGCTAGAAATCTATTGTTGGCTTGACGTGAATGCTAGGTATGATTGTCTGGGTAGCAAATGTAAGATACGAGTTAAAGTATGCTATTGGGTAAGTTTTCGAGTAGTGAGAGAGAAAGGTTGAAGAATAATAGAATTAAAGTAATGGAAAGGTCAAGTTGCCCATTGCTACACTCAACACCATCGCTGCAACCACGATCTTGCTTACGTCTCCTGGCTACTAGTATATAACTAATCAAACCGGCTCTCAATGAAAATCACAAAGTTCTCTTCATGCAAATCTACAGAGGACGAGTTGAGAAATCGAAATTTCTTCCGATGAGCATCAAATGGCAGGCCGTGGTGCTTCTGGAATCACAACAGAACTACAGGAACTGTACTACTAAACCAACATGATTCATCTATTTCAAACCACAGCATTGAAGCCTGTTTCATCCTGATGAAATCTCTTAGCTCACATGCACGGATGACTCTCCCCACCCCCATCTGAGCAGATTAGTTGAGAGATATTATCACGCCTGAGTCATTTTCAGAATTACAATGGAGATTTGTTTTCAAAATACCGCAATAGCTTTGCAAAATTCTTCCACTTACGGCAACTCGAAACTATACAGCTTCCGAGAATTATTCGGCGACTAATTATCTCATGGATGCCATGCCATGCTCCTTCCTGCCTCGTGCATGAAGCTCGAGGGAGAGAATTGTTGAGAAGCGCAATGACGTAGAATCTGATGCTTGACAGAAAGGCAACTCGTTGCCTTTCGCCCTTATTGGTAGGTGATGCTCTTGATGGTGGTTGTGGCATGCGTGTGTCATTGCGGCTCTGCAGGCATTGTCTATGCTTGAAGATAAAAAGGGTCAACCATCTCCATACAGGTACTCGAATGTGCAAGTTCTTGTTGCTGTAGATGCACTGCTCGGGCGAGGCGAGTAAGGGTAGTCCCCGAGGAGGTGAGAAAATAAGGCGCCCGCGTCAGAGAGTCGCTGTGCATGCGTTATGCGTATGCATTTCAGCCGCAGATCCACGACCTTGCAGAAACGATTCATATCGTGTTGATTCGGTCTCGGAGCTTGTTCACCGAAGATTCGCCTAATTCGAAGAAATAACTGGTTTTGAGTGTGTGTGTTCCGGCGAGAACAAGCGAGACTCTTTTTTTTTTTTTTTTTTTTTTTTGTGCAACTGCGCACGATAATTGATGGATTCGTGGGAGGTGATACAGGCTGTACACGAACTTGAGACGAGACACAAGCGCCGGGAAACTGCATGAACCATCTTCGTTTCACGGGTAAAGACGTTGGAGTGTAACAGTCACATTCGCTCACAGTGAGATTACCCCTCATTATGGGTTGTGTTGTGTTGGTTGTGTGATTGATGTTAGAGCAGAGCCGCATTTGCGAACCAAAGTTATAAGGCGACGAGTGTCCCCCACACAAGACAGCGCAATTCAATGCAAAAGCGCAATATTTTGCCTATGATGATCGATGTATTTGCATCTGATATCACACGGTTTCAGAAAGGGCTGAGACAAAGCTTGCTCATTCGACCTCGATTCTGACGAGTTTAAGAACGAGGCTGTCGAGTACTGATCGACAAGAATCATGTGAAGCCTGCTACTGTAGCGCATTGGTTACTGTACCCTCGGACACCAATTAAAAGAATCTGGTGAGATGGCGCTAAATGCGGTGCAGATGAAACCTCACTCACTACAGTATGTAGCTGCACTTCTGTTGCATTCATCACGCGGCACGAGCCGGCCTTGGATTGGTTACACTGCATTATTAGGTGGTTTACTCCGTAGTCGATGCAGGACATTGCCGTGCCTGTAGGTTTTGGTTGCCTTTAGGTGCTACGCTGACACGTATGTAGTGCCTCGACCAGCATTGGAACGCCAGATCCTCATATGTGGGCGGCCTCAGACATTTTAAGTAACATCCCTTATATTGACAGGCCTCAAATACGTAGGAGCTCAGGCGTTCAGTCCAGCTCAGTTCAGTAATCTTAATCTCACACACCGTAAGTTGTTAGCTGACAGCTCCCAAATCAAGAAATCCCCGCATTTATCCATTGGGGGCGTACTGAGCTAGGACTACACTATCACTTACATACTTCCAATTGTAAATTGAATTTACAATGCCTACGCCCTAAGAACATCCTCAGCCTCTCGATAAACGTAATACCGACCGCTATTTACAAGTATGGTACGGAAGCAATCACATGCCTAACCGCTACTGCATCCGCATGGATACTCAGCGGGTATTGGAGCCTGTTCCGCGTAGTTAGTGGTTGCCTTTTTCTCTGCCTCATCCATATCAACATGGGTCATCTTGAAGAGTTCGGCGAAGTCTTCTCGTGATAATCAGACAATCCGGAGACTTTCAAAATCTCGGCATTCAATCTCGGAAGCTGATGGCTAATGCGCAATCGGACCTCGGGCATTACGTTGCGACTCGTGGAAAGTCCGAGGTGTCCGGGTTCCGAATATCTAAGGTATCAAGGCGACTGCAGGATCAAGGTATCACGGCATGAGACTAGCAATTGCTCTAGAATTATTCTAGAAGCTTTATAGAATGTCATGACATATCAGGTGCGTTACCGCCCACCCAAGGACAGAGATGGGCCATCTTCTGAACGCAACGGCCAAGCTCGTTCAAATGATGTGCCCGATCTGGCTTTTGATCCATCTCTACACAAAAGCAATATACTAAGTATATTGATGTTATGAGAGCTGAATAAACTCGGCAATATCATAAAATGCTTCCGGGCCAGCGCTGTCCGGATCGATCTGTAGGAGCTGATATGTTAGTCGCACTTGAGCCTGAACACTTGTCTCTAACTTTCCATCAAGAGGGCCTTGACTAGATACTTCTTCCCTCCTCTATATTATGCCAGAACTGGAAACCACTCTGCTTTTGATTCATAACATCTTGGTGAAGATATCCTATATACCTACCCCATAAACAAATTATCCAACACTGAGTGCTAATAACCCTCAGAACAAGTCAATGACTGCGAAAGAAACTACCGAGGATCAGTAGCCTTTTTTGAAATCGGTTTGTCAACAGTAACATCATAAACTTCGCTCCCAATGTTCCCATAGTCGAGCTCTCGGAAAATGCTTGGATATCTTGATGCATGATTTCTATTACTGTAATCAAGGATGCCAGCACAATGATGAAACTGCAAGTATCGCATTCACGGACTGGAAGTGGTGGCTCTACGATGTAGATTTTCGTAGTGTTGATACTCCGTCAAAGCCAATAGCTTCTGGATATTGAAGAGTCATGCCTCAACTGCCGGTACCACAGATGTCCTTACTGCGTTACAACGTTGCCACGTCAGATCGTCCCACGTTACTTCATACCCTCAAACTTTATTAAACCCAAGTATCAACCTGATACCCGGCCTCAAAAACTCTCTGTCGATATCTGGCATAGTCCGAGTGTTATTGGTCCAACTTGGTTGAGCCGAGACATGTGTCATTGACTCCCGCATATCCGACGCTTTTAATATCAAAGACACTTGATTATCTCACTTCCTGCTCAAACAATTGATAGATACACAGTCCTTCATCTAACTGGCCCATCCATATATCCCGCAGCGATGCCCAAGGCCACCCAAAACAAGCTGCCAGCTCCTCTCACACGTTTCAGTGCATCTCGAGCTGTAACTGGATACGAATTGGACAACCCATCAACATGTGCATGAAGCCGTCTGGCCTCACTATTCTCCGATTCGTCGCACCTAAAAATCCTCCACTATGCAAGCTACACACTGACAACGTCAAAATCATGCCATGGCCGCGTTTCCAGCCCTTCCGCACCATCCGTGACAGTAGACTTCGCATTTGCAGCCAAATTGTCTGCGTCATGAAAATCAAACACATTTCTACTGCTGGTGCATATGATCCCAGTGCTTTTTTTCTGGGTACGTTATCCTGCAGATGGCCTAAAATGTTGGCCAAGTATTGCATTTTTGGCCCCCAAATTGACCCGGCAGTTTGGTACGCCTAATGCAAGTATCCAGATGCGGGGGCGGGAGACGCGGGAGACCCCACTTCCCGCTCTTTGTGGCACCTGTGATCCAATGTCATCATAGCCAATAATAGTGGCATCCATCCAATATCAACAGCCTTGATTTGCCCATGACAAGTCAATTGATCAATTAATATGTATCGTTCTACTTGGTCAGGTATCTATTCATGACTTCCTTATTTCAGTCCGCTTCTAACGTTCCCCAAACACCCGAATAGTACACAAACTGCCACCCACTGTCGCTAGACATGTAAAGCGAAACAAAAGAAAATAAACAGCAAGAAATACAATATGTACACGCTTGATGGGTTCAAGATACAATTTAGACAACCCATTCAAAGCGCTAAAACAGGAGTAGCAAGTACATACAAGGAAGAAAATTAGAGTAACGATAAGGAAAAGCAGCAACACTTAAAACAGCGACAGAAACTGTTAGTGAACTAAAGGAGATAGTGAACGTAATGTGCGAGGCCCACCCGGAAACAAGAGCCTGCGCTGAACGTATCTAGATGTATAAGCAAGTTTGACCAGAGAAATCGATCTATTTGTCTTGGTGACAATTCCTTGGATGCAACCTTGTATCAGGATATTGTTCATTAAGAACAATACCGGGTTTGGGGGTTATGAGAGCTTTGAGTCGACGAGCACTCAAACGTCATGTTGTCGGATGATTCTCCACCTATGAAACGCCCGAAGTTATAACTCGAGGGCCCAGTCGTATGCAGAGTAATCATAAAATTCTTCCAATGTTCAAGATTGGATCTCTAGACATGTTGAATTTGATACGGTGATAGTAGGAGTGAGTAGTGTTGTTGAAAGATGATATTCACCCACATAGGGGAAGAGTGGGCAAGTCCATATCCAAGTTATTGTTCTGGCTGGTTCCAATAAAGTGCCGCCTTGCTTGGCATGAACGGAGACATCCTAATTGGTGCCGCTGGACCTGGCTACCTAGAACAGTGGAAGAGGGGCCAATGTCTATCCAGGGGCTCGATACTTGTCTTGATGACTGTGAAGACTCGGAGCAAAATGCCTGGCTTGGTTTCTTTCAACCGTTCTGGCAGGACACTTCCATGCCGACACAGTTAGCTTGCTGATGTGTGAGCATGGGAAGTACCCTGCCAGATTAGCCGACAGTGAGCTCATGTAGGCGTGTCCTGTACCTCGACGTTGTCCTTTTGCCTGTTGTCAAGGTTGATCTTGACGTTATACTTTTCCGGAACTTCGAATTGGCGAGTTTCTCCATTCCAGAGAAGCCAGTTACCTGAGGATGCAATCTTGTATCCAAGGGACAGGATACGATCCTTGCGCTCTTCCGAGACAGACGGCAACTCAAAATACTTCTCGTCCTCGTCTATCTTGTCATTACTGAACCAGTCGTTGGGAAAATAGTCCTCGGCGTAAAGCAGCCCTCGCATGGCAAAGTCCTCGGGCAACGGGTGCGGGAGCCGGTCCTTTTCCGGCAGGCGGAAGTGGCCACGAATCTCATACCCAGGCTCGCAGGAAAGCAACAGAGTGTTAAGCATAATGGAAGTTAGTTTCCAGGGATACGCGTCCTCCAAATGGGAAATGGCCGCTGGATACTGTGTCATGTGGTTCATGAAGACCAAGATGGAATGCACGAAAGGCAACGTATTGGTGTCTCCCCAGCGGTAAAGTACTCGCGAAATCGTCCTCTTTGCAAAGTCAAGTGCAAGCTTGAATGTCTCGTCGGGGATAACCTCGGAAATTGTGTTCCCATCCATGGTAACGTCAGTCTCTTCGGGCTTCTTGGACATGGCCCGCATAAGAACATTGGACTCAGCACCGTACCCAAGTAGAGAGCATGACAGAGAAATGGCAATATAATATCTGCTGGAGTTAGTGTAGTTCGAATAGCTTTTCAACACCGACTGACCCTGATTCCAACCATCGCTTAGTGACCCGACCGATATGACCATCAAGTGAATCAATAAAGCTATCCGTAGACTCTTTCAGCTGGTCCCGGGACTTCCCAGAGAAGAGGATTCCATGAGCGCGCACGAACGCAGCATCAACGGGGGCAAGACGGGCCGTATTGTTGTTCAACACAGGATCAAACAACGTCATTATACTTTCCCGTGCACTTGAAAAAGGAATGGGGACACAGAGGGACTTGGTGTAGTAGTACAGCTGCTGCAGGGCATTGGGACGCGCCAAGATGGCGAGATGGTGATAAAGTCTACCCGTAGTAGGGGATTTGTCTGATGCTTTGCTGTACCAGTGACGACTTACGCCAGTCCAGACCTCACGGTCTCTGATATCGTCGTCCTCAATGGCCATGCGGTATCTACCAAGGTCTCCAAGACACTCGATCCATGTATCCTCAAAAGCAGGCACAGTTTCGTATAACAAGGCCATCATACTGTAAGCCAAGTACAGAAAGGTGAGCATGTGCTCGAGAGAGGCAGGCAGACGATGCCGAAGAAGCTCAAGAAACGAGTGAATGCCGTGTCGCCACATGCGCGCAGGCATAGCATACTTAGACGCCAACCTTCGCAAAGCAGGACTAGCAGAGGGGTGTTGACTTGCAAGAAAGAAGTCATGATGCTCATGGAGAAGTGTTCGGTGAAGTGCAATCAAAGCCTGCCATTGTTCGTTGTTGAGTTTTGAATTGGCATCAGTGTTGGATGATTGTGCATTGTCAACCTCGATGCACTTTGTCTCAACCATGACCAGACCTGCGTAGATGCCTTTGACCTCTGCGACAAGCTGATCTTGTGAGATAGGTCTGGTCTCTGGTTGACGCATCATCTTGGAGGTAGACTCATCATCATTAGATGAAGGTCGATTGGGTTGTTGTGTGGTAGGCTGGGTAGGTCTGTTTGCCTTGGTAGGCCCTTGCCTGGGCGAACCAAGAGAGACAGCTCGCCCCTGACCCTGTGACTTTTGCTGAACACCATCATCAGAGGTCCAGAGCTGGCGGCCTGATGTGTTCTGGTGGGGCCGACCCCCGTAGTCGTTCCGGTGGTCATTACGGGCACGGCTACGGCCTAAGCCCGGCGGCTCAGGCGACCGACGCTTTGCCTGGTGGCCATCGGCATCTCGGTCTTGATCGACTGCAGTGCCCGTTGTGGTATGGTCCCCTATGGTGCCATTGGTGGTGTCTGCACGTCGCTTCCTGCTATTGGAGTCCTGACTATTTGGTCTATTGGATCTGCAAGAATAAGAATAAGTATGTATGTATATTGCTATGCAGGTACAGCGGGCTGAACTGATCCGGGGAGTGAACTAACCCCTTATTAACGTATGATAGTTGCGCTGATTCCAGCGTCGGCCACTTTTCACAATGATCAGGATCGGATTTGGCGTGTTCGAGCCAAGTTTCTAACGTCTTGATTTCGTCGCCGCAGATATCGCACGTAAAGGAGGGTGACTCTGCCTTGTCCTGGCGGTCGCGAGTCCTCAAATGTCGGACCCATTTGTCCGTAATGCCTGCCATGTTAGGCTATGACAAAGCATGGGAGACCGTGCCGAGCCCAACCGGCGCGTGCCTGTAAGTGAGAGAGAGAGAGAGAGAGAGAGGGAGAGAGCTAGAGAAGATTGTGAGAAACTGTCAAATGAAGAGAATCCTGCAGTACAGAATTCGGTCAACCATAGTTATGCTGTGATTGTCACAGAGAAAGAGAGAAGGAGAAACAAAGTCAGACCCAAGGGATACAGAATGCAGGTAAGGTAATAGGTAGGCAGGGCAAAAGGTATATGCAAGAGGCGGGTCTGATCTGGTCTTGGTGGATAACGTCAGGCAGCCCTGGCGAGACCACCAAGGTTCCAGAACTGACAAGCTTCACATTTGGGGGTTGGGTTGGTTGTTGGAGTTGAGTGAGGGGGGGCGTCATTACCCAGCAGCCACAATTGGCTTGGCTGGTGGTTCGCAAAAAAGGAAATGAAATTGAATATCGGATAAAAGGCTGGTATCGTTATCTTACCCGCTCAAAGTGCAGTCTCAGTTAATTGAGATGGTGGGAGCTTGCTTCCCTTCCTTGCGAGCAATGCAATATGCAAAATTTGTGATAATCGATGATGATGGTGGGCTCAAGGCTGCCTGGTTCGCCCGCTAACGGTTGCCTCGTTTGAGGCTCTGCGGCACATTAGCATGAAATGCCCCTTAGCTTCTCCCGTTCATTTTGCAACAATAAACATACCTGATTGAACTTCAAAAACACAGCCAAGTTGCTGCGTGTCTGTAATACAATGATTCAACCTTTGAACAGAAAAACAGGCATAATTGGGTAAAGTGGTTAGCTTCGTGGGAACGTGCCACTGGCCAGCGATAATGTAAGAACCATGCAACGACGAAAGTAGTAAGTAAGTTTACTACTTCCGCCAAGGTAGGTAGGGGAATAAATGAGTGGTAGTATAAAAAATGGCCCCAGTCAATCAACACAATTGTGGCAGCTAAATCTTTGAATAATAGAACATACAACTGGAAGAAAAAAACTCTAGTATATATAAGCAAACCCATCAACTTTGTTTTCATTGCTAGAAAGGCGAACCAACAATAGGTAAAAAGGGTGATAAAACCAATGGACCAGGATCATTCCTCGCGCCCGATTCATTGCACCCTGAGCCATAGTTAAAGCACATTCCCAGTCAGTGTTGGGGGGGTTGAAAACCACCCCTCTGAAGATTTGTTCGATGGCCGCCACGATGGTTCGCCCAACCTCGGATACTTATAATAACTGAAAGCCACCGCTGACTAAGTCCTATTTACAGTTCAAACATCCAACTTCATCTCAGAATGACTGGATGGCAGTTCTACAGAGTACGATATCAGAGATCTCTTGGGCGTATCCCTTCGTCAGCTCGTGGCTCAGATGGAAGCCTGGTCGTGGTCCGTGATCACCAGAGCCTATGCTTCACAAATCCTCCAGGTCAGACAATTCACGAGGCTTCGCTGAGAGCCAGACATCGGGGCTGAAATACAAAAAATGGCACTCGCCATACTCATACTCATCAGCACATGACTCATTCACGCCGTAGATCCTCTACCGTGAGGCAGGTTGACAAACCGAATCTGTCATTTCAGCAGCTTTGGGTCCAATATTGGATGTCACTAATCCCGACAGATTGGGCCAGGTGCCCCTTTTCCCGGTGATCAATAACACTGGATGAACCAACCTCGGAGCTGAACCAGTATTCTCATAGCTCGTTGGTGCCAACGATGATACTAGATATCATCTCTCATCAAATGCTCGTATGAAGCAGGGCGGCACAAGAAGCATCATGCTGGCATCCAGGTCTTGACAGAACAGCCCAATGTTTGGTGCATGGCCAATAGACCTTCAAGCGAGGGCCTCCGAGGCGGCCGCCAGGTGTCTATTCGGCCTTTTAAAAAGTCTCGGGGAAGGCGAAGTTGGGAGTGAAAATATTGCCTCCTCTAGGTAGATACGGGGATGAGTCGACTGGCCGAGGCGCAGGCAGAAGTGCTGTCGCGTGCTCTCACGATCCTGAGGCTCGCATAGTTGAGGTGAAAGTGAGAGGTATTGGGATTTGTTTTGCTAACTTTGAGGTGAGAACGGGCCGGCTTTTAAATTAAGGCCTCCCACGAACAGCGCATATATGGGTGTGGTCTCGGTAGTTGTGTGTTGGCGATTAGAAGCGAATGCGTGGAATACATGCATTGGGTCGTGGAATAAATTGACAGAACGCCACTTTGGACAACTGGCATCGTTGACATTTCGTCATCAACAACTCATTATCACAAATCATGATTATCAGCCCAACAGGTACAGGGTATATGGTTGACATGGTTGATTACCGATATGG